GCATTTAATACAGTAAAAACAGTAATATTGTGAAAAATTTTTACAATTTAAAAGGACTTTATGTGAATATATTTTAACATGATTTATTCCTGTAATCAAAGCTGAATTTTCAGCATCATTATTCCAGTCTTAAGTGTCACACAATCCTTGAGAATCAATATTGTACTGCATATTAGAATGAGAAATCATTCTAGTGTGCTAATTTGCTGCTCAAGAAACTATTATTATTATTATTTATGTTGAAAACAGTTTGGCAGCTTCATATGTTTATGGAATTTTTTTTAGGGTTGCTTGATGAATAGTTTTATTTTTTTAATAGAAACATTTTATAAACAAATGTTACTGTAACTTTTGATGAATTTCAGCCGTTTTTGTAGGCATTAAACTGACAGAATTTTAAAAGGCGATATCTCCGTTTGCATTGAACTTTCAGCTTCGTAGCTTTGCAGATATTGTTTATGCTTAAACAGCAACATTACACACTAACTAACGTTAAAAAAGTGAAATCGCAATCAACCACCCCTTTAATGCATCCTTGCTGAGTTAAAGTATTAATTTACAAAAATGTTACTGACCCCAAACTTTTGGATCATTTTCATGAAAATTGCTCCCAAACGTTCATTAATGTAATACGTACAGATTATTTTTTAATTTTTCTCAGTGGCAGTTCTCTTTAGATCATCATTGTAGTAATTTGATATTTTATTTATTTGCTTTATTGTTCTTTTATATTATTGAAATTATTTTTTTTATATTTAATTGTTTAAAATATTTTATTTAAATTTTTTATATATATATTTACTTTTAATTATTTAATTCAGCATAAATCCAGTAAATCATTCACACACACACACACACGTATATATATATATATAATATGGTAATGATGAGAGAAAATGTTTCATGAAAACAATGACTCTTCTTTTTTTATGCACAATTTAAAGGTATAGTTTTAAATATATAAAACAGAATATTTAAAAGTAAAATATCTGTTTTATAAGAATTTGGTGGGGTGAAATGTGACAGATATGGTTTCGTGCTATTCACTCAAATGCTTCAGGTGAGTACTTCAAATTTAAGAAAACTCAAGAAGCAATTTAAAATTAGTTTTGAAAATTTTATAACCGCAGTCTTAACACTTTTTTTTTTTTTTTAGGTTGCCTTAGGGGAAGTGCCTGTATCCTATCTCTAATTAGAAATAAATGTTAATGAAGAGCATGGTTTACTGCAGGGAGATTGTCAGAGGGGAGCTGTTTGAGCTTATGATACAGCAGTTTCCATTAACACGCGTAGGCAGTCTATAAAGCAGTTATTAACGGCAATTATGTAATGACGAATCAGTGAAGTCAGTGCTTTCAATATATTTTGTTCACACCCTCTGTTGTTGCACATGCATCTATTTACATACAAATACATGATAATTCACAAATACATTACCAATCAAAAGTTTGGAGTAATTAAGATTTTTATTTTTTGAAAGAAGTCTCTTCTGCTCGCCCAGGCTGCATTTATTTTGTAAAAAAACAAAAAAACAAACTAATATGTAAAATATTTTTACAATTTAAAATGTCTGTTTTCTATGTGAATATATGTTAAAGTGTAAAGTGATGCTGAATTTTCTGCATCATTACTCCAGTCTTCAGTGTC